GGTACAGATCAAACTCGTGTAAACGTCTTAAACTGGCCCAGAACCAGTTCAGACTGCAGATGGTTGTCACAAATATCGGTCCCATGGCTTCCGACAAAGAATTAGTCTTGTCGTTTGAACTTAATACGACGGTTGGTCCTTCGTCAACAGTTTCGCAGACAAGAGCTTGAAGTCCTACTTTCATTGGCCAATATCGTTCTAAAACTCGAACGGTGACGATTGACTGAAATTTAGTTACAAGACGCTTGGAATTGGTGTTCAGAATTCCCCCAGCAATCTGACGCCGAGAGCAAAGAATTGCTGACGACCACAGTTTTGCTGTTATGGTTAAATTCAATGCTTCGGAGGCATATATCGCTTTGGCAAAATGCAACTCATGTGTCTCTTCAGGACATATGCATAAGGTTACATTTGGTGGGGTCATGTCTTCTGTTGCACCCAGCGTTCCAAGTACACTCAGCTCTATTTGACCACAGGGAAATCCATCTACAAGATGAAGCATAACCCTAAAATATGGAACCTCGTTTTGTGCTACTGTTGACGGGCCGTTAAAATTGATTGTGAGACCCCAAGTGGTTCGAATTAGGTCAGTTTCTCCAATCCACAATCCCAAACCGCTGGTCATACAATAGGCATAGAGTTTGACCTCATGAAATTGACTGCGGTTGTTTAGAGTAAAACGGAAATACGAAAATCCGTCAGAGCGATCACTTTCATTCACCGAATCGAATATCCAATAAGGCTGGTATAAATCATCCTTGTAAAAACGATTCCATTGTTTAAAGTATTGCTTCTGAGACTGAGCCTGTCGCATATATACGTGGCTCAGATCAGTTCCTTCCTTTCTGGACACGGTCATGTGAGGACAAGCACTATTCAAATTAAGCTTGCTTGACAAACCCCAGTGAATGGTTAAAAGTCCTGCCAACTGGAATGCCTCTTCCGTATCCAAAGCATCAAAATATTTCCATCGACCACCCCATACTTGTTCTATCATACGCATATATTCACTCCAGCTGAGTAAATGTAAAGATTGTCCAGGATGTTCATCCACCAGTCCAGTGCGAACGTGGCAGTGATCGGATCCAGTAGAACTGATCACTTTAGACGGTAGTTTGATTGTGAATAAATCCACAAGTGAAGAACCACGACGTTGAATACGATGTTGAATTTTGTGACCTAATTGATAAGCTGGTGAAAAACAATCATTTGTTTTGATTTGCAAATGTGCTGCCACTCGTTCCAAAGTACCGTCCTTTAGGTTCTCATAAAAGTAGAAGACTAACTCCGCGCCGGATAGAAATCGGTAGCTAATGTCCAGATCAACCACACGATGATAGATGGTTTGCCTCGACTCTTGATTAGGTGATTGTTCAATTTTTTCCAAATCATTGCACGTGAACTGTGCAGCAGGATACTCACAAACACATGAATAGTAGGAGAAATATGCACACTGGTTCGGGTGACAGGGAATACATCGCGCACAGTTCGCCCCGGTCCATGTTCTCTTGCATCGACACTCTCCGGGTTTCAGACACCAACCGCCAGCTGGATGACAGTAAGGAGCACATATTGGATCCAGACAGTCTTTGCCTTGCCATCCAGGAAGACATCGAATTTGGTCAGATTCACCAGAGCCGCAGGTGTAATGACCAAATTCGTCATCTCGATCGTGACACTGAGCATGCGTTCCGGACTTGTCTGCATCGTATCGAATGATCATGTGCTCACCACCAACCACACCCTCTACCCATATCGTTTTTGAGCGGATGGGTCTATTTGCAATCAAATGAATTTGAACGCTTTTCGCTGCACAACTGACTTCCAATATTGTTCGTCTACCTAACCAAACTTGCATTCGGACGCCGGAGTACGAAGCCCATGGTTTTATCGTTTTCTCAGNTTCAGCGATCCGATCTGATTGTGCCACAGTTTTCTCGGGTCTAAAGCGGGCACACTGGCTTGCATCAGAATGAACGGGCTATATCGAATTGGAGGGACAATAAAAACTGCTTCTCCATCGGAATTGGTTAATTCAGATAATTGAATAAAATGTTGTATATGGTTCGGACTAATTTCGGGCATTCGGTCACGCTGGTTACAAGCCACTGCCAGTTGACTGAGTTCCAGGAAAACTTTCTGGTCGCTCAAATTCTCCAGACCAGGGTGAACTAATTTGACTGAGATCGTGAATGGCAGATCCGGATGATAGAAAGACTGGTCGCCTAGAGTCAGACGGGCGCCTCTTTCTAACAGCGGTTGACTGTGATCACATTTGGTCACAACTTCGTGGGTTTGGTGCGCAATAACCTGATGACAAATGTACATGACTTCTTTGGAACTTTTCACNTTTCACACTCATCTGATTAAAATTGAAAGGCAAGGTGGAGATTTTGAATTTCTCGCATATTTGCTTCATACTCTGGTGCTGAACAACACATTGCCGGGTTTCAGAGTCGTACGTGGCCGGACAGCTTCGTTTGGCCCACAAATCCCTAGTCTTTTGTTGATCC